GTTTATCTATCTATCTATCTATCTATCTATCTATCTATCTATCTATCTATCTATCTATCTATCTATCTATCTATCTATCTATCTGTCTACCTGTCTACCTGTCTACCTGTCTGTCTATCTATGCACCCATGATAATGCATTCAAGTGCAATGATAATGCATACATCTCTGCCTGATTAGAGGAACACCACTGGCCCACTTTTCCTCAATCCTGTGGTAAATTTGAGAACAGAGGACTTTTAGTTTCTAACCCTGCAATGTCATTCCCTTCACGTGTCCCCTATGACAGACGGCCCATAAAACCCTTTCAATAAGTTGTAAAATGGAAATGGTGCCTCCTGTCTTCAATGGGGAAATGGAGCCATGAACGTGAGATTTATTCAAAATCTTCATGGGAAAATGGAGGCCGTGAAGGCTGTGCTTGAGTAAAATCATTTTGCTACTTCTTCATATATAGAAAAATATAGCAATATAACAAGAACAATAATACTACTACTAATAATATAAAAATACAGTAAAAACAGTAATATTGTGAAATATTACTACAATTTCAAATAACTGTTTTCTATTTTTAAATGTTTTAAAATATAATTTATTCCTGTGATGACAAAGCTGAATTTTCAGTCTTCAGTGTCAGCTTTTATTTGAAAAAGAAATATTTTGTAACATTATAATGTCTTTACTGTCACGTTGTTGCTAAACAAAGTACTAGTTTTAATAATAATAGTAAAAACGTTCTTGATTTTTGAACAGTTTTATATATTTCAGCCCCCCCCCCCTCCTTGCGGCCTTGCTTTTAGTCTTTTATTCTGTTTCTCCTCATAACGGTTATTAGAGTTTATCCCCAAATGCCTGAACAAACTGGATTTCAGTAAGCCCATTTTCAGGTGAGATGGGAATAAACAACAAGCACCCACCACACACGTGAGAGCTTTTATTTGAAAAAGAAATATTTTGTAACATTATAATGTCTTTACTGTCACGTTGTTGCCAAACAAAGTACTAGTTTTAATAATAATAGTAAAAACGTATAAATAAAAATAAATTTTATTTTTATTTATACGGAGCAAAAAGTATTTTACCATGCTAGGGCAAACAAAGCCACCACAAGCGGTACACATGTGAATAAACCATGACCGGTTTCCATATAAACATCAGCAGTACAATCTCAAAGTGCCCGCTGGACTGAAATATGCTGCTTTTAGATTATCAGTACCTCTGTTTTATTGTCTTAACTTTATGCTGCACATGCTGTTGAACTGTAATTTGATATGTGGGTAGATCATATTGTTTGGTGTCTCTGACCAAATGGACTGCATTTTAATTAACTTTTTAAATAAAACATTATATCGATTTTTGTCTCTACTGTCCATGCTGGGTTCAAACTGAGTCCTGAAATGATTTAAGAGAGATAGAAATCCCAGATTATGAGGATGACAGATGAGATAATGAGCAAATGACATGACCACCCCTTCATTGAAAGAACGCAATCTGCACCGGACATCTAACTATGCACCAAACTGAATAGTTCAAAGGTTTAGATAGGTTTAGCACTTTATGCTTTTTTCGAAGAACTTCAGAATGTTCTTTCAAAGGAAAAGTGAGAAATTAATAAAAAAATGCACGCTTACCCGTAACAGAGCTGTCTAGGTTGTCCATGCTGGAGCCTGGCGTGTTTTCGATGCCCCTAATTGGTGGCGACATCTCATATCCTTCGTCCTCCTCCTCATCGTCGTCTTCGTCAGGAAGGTCTGTCTCAATATCGGACACTAGGGTGCTGGAGATGTAACCCACAGGCGGCGTGGGGGCCAGGGGCACGTAAGGCCCACCCTGCATGTGCCTACAGAGAATTCAAGAAGTCAAACATGAACATTCCACGCTTTTTTTGCATAACCAGGCAAGAGCTTCAAGGGTTGTCAGCGGGAGACAAAGGGTGTCAATGAGCGACAAGCCTAGACAAAAGAGAAATGCGTGGCGTGTGCTGTCTGTCAGGCGAAATTTGGTATTCCTAGAACATTCTTTTCATCACTCTGATGAATTGGAAAAATTCGGCTAATTCAGCAGCACCGTGGTCTGCATGCTAACACAATGACCTACTAATTGCAGCTTGAAGAGGATACAATGGCAACCACCACAGGCATGTCTTTGCTGTGGCTGTCACCCACTAGACAGCTAGATTCTATGACAGCCTTACTGTGTGTCTATATATATGTGTATCGGTCTGTGTTTGTGCAGTGCTGCTGCTGCTTTGATGCGGTCTGTGCCAGGATTTGGATATAATTATGGGCTCTTCCCAGTAGTCACAAATGTTCTATGAGCAACATAGTCATTATGGTGGTAACATGACATCTTCCTCCTGACAAGTGGAGGCCGTTCCCTTCACAGTGCCGACTGTAATAAGCAGAAGTCGGCTTATCTTGGATATATATATAGCATGGGGGCTTTATAAGTTACACAGTCTGGGGGGGGGTGACTATCAGTTTTTTACATATTTAATTCAGCTACATTCACTTTTTTCATTTAAATTATGCTTTTATTGAAAATGACTAACAAATGCGGTCCAATAAAAACAGATTTGATAAAATTCAGTTTAATTCAGTTTCTGCTGGTAAAAAGGAAGCCAGTTAATTCAATTCAATTCAAATTTATTTGTATAGCGCTTTTCACAATACACACTCAAGTAAAAGAAAAAAAAAACTTTGAATCTTCAATGTTAAATAGTCATTTTTATATTTCACAATTGCATTTAGTGTCTCTAGTGCCCAAACCTTTTACTACAAAGGGCCAAAAAGCAATCTTGGAATGTGAGTGTTGCATTATACCCTAGTATATTAAACAACATTTTTAAAATCAAATTCACCTATATTATCTACATTTTAGTGTAATGAGTTCTTACCAAGTCTGTTTAGCCATGTCCAACTGGTAAGCGCGGGTTAGCTCATCTAGGTGGGTTTGGAGCATGGGCTGTATTTCTTCACGTGGGGATGGGCTCAGTGTGGCTGTGGACTGTTTGCCAAAGGAAACTGCTGCAGGGGAGGAGGCCACGCCCCTTATAGGAGGAGTGGGCACCCGTTCTTCCTCTTCCTCCAACTCATCCTCTAAACCCTGATGGAGGTATGTCTGCACTGGCAAGGGTGGGCCCCAACCATCACTATCATATCTGGAACAAATGAGCATTGAAACAAAATGAAAATTGACCACAGACAGGTCCCTGTGGCACACCACCAATACGTGTGTGTTAGGTATGAGAAAAATGAATCTTATTTTTATTTATTTTTATTTTTTAGAAATGTTAGTCTAGCTAACAGTTATGGATATAGTGAGACCCATGTTTAGCAACATAGTGGTAATGGTGTAAATCTTGGGTTAAATGCAAAAAATCTTGATGGATTTTGAAGCTTTACTGGTTCTTTAATACAGGCTGATCTGGCAGAACGGCTGCATTTTTTAAAATTTCCCAGAACTGTACTTATACATGCTGAAATAATACATTTCATAAAGCCAGCGTTCATTAGAGGAATTTGTCAGTGCACATCCCGTAGGACATAACCGTTTTAATCTGAAGCCATTAAAGACAGTGTCGAGATTTACAGCGTAGAAGACTACTCATTTGCCAGAGAGCCTATTAAGCCCAATGACTCTCCGAGATGGAAATTAACAGGGTTGAAAGGCAAGCACACCTCTCCAGCAGGATATTTAATTTGTATCACCACCCTCATGTTTTCTTTTAACTATACAGATGGGGCGACGCTGATGTCAGACGAGTGGAATGCCATCGAAGGCGAAAGCACATTAAAAGTTGCTGAGCATGAACAGCTTGTCAAAGAGGGTTTTAATATTACATATTGTCTATTTATAATGGACAATAAATAAATAATTTAGTGCTAGTGGTCTGATTAACTCTCAAAGGAACAAATAAATACCATTAGCAGATATAATATATTAGCTAGCAAGAACAAGACTTTGAACAATTTCTTACGAACATCACGGACGGTTTTATTTTAAACCACCATTTTTATCACTTGATGGGAAAAATCCAATGCTTAATTACATGGATCATAATTTCTAGATATTATAGATATGACCACTGAATTTGCAGTGTAGATTGTCACTACTACTTGTACTGAGTAGAGTTGAATGAGTTTCTCTGAACCCTACCCTCCTCCGTCATGGTGCTCTGAGGCATAGTAGTCCATCTCTGTGCCTGGAAGAGGGTGGACAGGAGGGGGAGGGAGTGGAACATTAGCCCAGTTGGAGCCATTCATCTTGGTGGGCTTGGCGTTTGCTTTGGTCTTCTTCTTCTTTCCACCTTTCCCACCTACAATAGCAAAAGTTGGGGATACTTGTTAGAGCTTGAATGCAGAATGATGTCACATGATTAGACAATTTCCATGTTTTCACCTTAAAAATAAAATTGATTTATTCCCCCCATGACATGTGCTTGAAATTATCTATGCTAAGTGAAGGCTCTTGCAGTGCCACTGTCAAATGCAAATGCTTGTATGTTAGAATGTACAACTCCTCTGGACACAACTGCTTTCAAAATGTTCCCAAGCCAAAACGGCCATAAAAGCAATCTCAAGGCTGCGTGGTGAAAGAAACAGCTTGCAGCATGTCAATGGCTCAAAGACTGAAGACTAAAAAAAATTACTGAAGAAACCTTTGACCTCCTTTTAACTACGATTGCTATTCATGCAACTTGCTGGAATATTTGTTTACAATTCTATTCTAAGAATATGCACTTCATTTTCTTCACTCTAAGAAAAAGTATTAGGAAAGTAACAGAATGTGTCAAAGATAGAAAGAAAAAAGCCTTTTGAACTTGAATATTATGCATCCACAATCTCCCTGGACAAAGGATTTGGCAAATTATGCACTTGCCCAAGAACTAGTACGAAGGATAGTAATTAATCACCCTTCTGTCACAATCTAATTAACAAAACCATCTAAATGTAATGGCCATCAATGCCAGATTAAGACATTTGGGACGAGGACGTGATGTGTGTCCTCCACAGACTGCATGCAGAGGTGGCAGGATTCATTACTGTAAATTATTAATGCCGCCGCTGGCAAACTCGATATGACCAGTGCATTGCCGCATGTTGCCAGATCCTCCCGCGTTTCAAGCCAGGCATAAAATAGCTGAGGCTGATGGGAGTCAGACACATGGCCAAATGCAAACAGGGGGGAAAACCTTCACTGGCAGCACTTGTGCTGTATGGGATCCTATCTGTCATCATCTGACTCTGTCTGCCAATGGCCTCTAATCGTCCCTGCCGCCTCAAAATGTTCCGATTCAGGCAACCCTGCGGCTTCAAACCTCATGTTATTTAATATGATGCCAGGACTCTGACAGGGCTATACATTAAATCCAAAAAACTCTTTATAAAAGCCATGTTGAATCATATTCAAGGGCTATGAATAGACTATCTTCCCTGGCTCTTAAAAGACCATTCCACCCAAAAATGAAAATGATGTTCCAAAACCATATGATTTTCTTTCTTCCGTGAAAACCAAATAAAGAAATTTGAAGAACTGTACTGGTCAATGAGTTGAATTAAAGACTGAGGCTGTCACGCTTTAAAAAATATGCAAATTCAACATAAAAGTGGTCCCCATGACTAGTAATTTTAGATTTTATAGTATTTTACGATTAGTTTGTGTTAAAAACAGTTCCAAATGTAAGTAATTTGCTGGCAAAAATAACTAGTTCTTCTTTGTGCATTAGGGAAAGTTCATGAGACGCATTCTTTTGAATCTTTTCAAACAACTGGTGTTTTCAGTTCAAAAACCCAGTTCAGGCCAGCATATGTGAACTGGTTCGATAAATTGATTAATGGTTGATCAAGTTCACAAAACCGTGTCTAAATGAATTGGTCACAAAACAGACTGATTTGGCTCTTGAGTATATAATAAGTGTTGTTATTGTTACCTAAAATTATAAGTATAAATAAAAAAATAAAATGACAAAAGAACATGAAAACACTAAAACAAACCAAAATTAAATTGAAAACTGAAAAAAATTAAAAAATAAAATGTAATTCAAACTATTAATATATACTATGATAGTATATAAATACTAAAGAAACTGATTGTTGAATAAATGCGTGTTCCACATAAAAAGTTATCGTATGGCTTCAGAAGTATAGTATATATACTTGAAATATAGTCATATGGACCACTTTATGATGTTTTTTTGTCCTTTGCTTGAAAACCTCTGTTTAAATTCATCGTACAATACCTAGAGAGCAACCAGTAATAAAAAATAAAGAGAGAGAGAGTGAGAGTGAGTGTTTTCAAAATATTATTTTTTGGTTGCACTGTTCCTTTAAGAAAAGCAAAAACAAGTGTGAAAGAATGAGCACAAGAGAATGAGTACTGTAGCTATGCACAGTTTAAGGCATATTTGTCATACGATGGCTGACGTTTATGATACTCTCGGCAGCCGGCCTATTAGAGAGCGTTCTCATCACCAGAACTTCTCGCTGACGGTGCGCTATTGTTCCGACGGCCGAGGGAGAGCGGGAGGCATTAGGAGTCTTGCGGAGGGATGGAAGTGTCAAACGAAGATGAATAAAGTATAGTAGTAATAAAAAAATAACAACAGGCTAGAGGCAGAAGTGGCTGGAGTGGGGAGAAGTAATTGGGTTTCCTAATCGTTCCTCTGGGTGACGCGTGGCGTCAGCCAATAAATGGAGAGATGGCGTGATCACTCAATCACTCCCTCACTTCCTCTCTCTTTCCTCCTTTCTTTCTCCCTCTGTTTGTCGAGTAGAGGGCATAAATAATGTAAACGAGTCTCTGCTGAGGAGTCGGGCAGCTCCTGAAATTACCAACATAAGAAATGTGAGGAAAACAGAGAGGAACGGCGCCGTGGGACGGCAGAGACTCGACTGACAAACATGAGGTCGTTTTCTGAATTAGGCCAAAGCAGGCCGGCGAAGAGGCAAAGGAACTTGGCTGTGTTTCATAACTTATAAAGTTTCACACCGTTAACACATCAATGAGAACTTGCTCAACTCTGACCTGTTCTATCTTGTACAATGAATTATGATCTAATTGCATGTTACGGTGGGGAAAATAAATAATAACAGTATTTGAAAATTATTAGCTTTTAATGGGGCAGTACAAAGACTTTACGGGCTTTTGTATTACAGGGAATGCATGTGTTTCTGATAAGGAAAAGACAGTTTTTTCGTTTTTCAAAGCAAGGCTGTGAATTTTGGCTCAAAACATGTGCAAAACAGCAAACAAATGGGTGAAATACATTTTAATGTTTTCACTCTCTTTAAACACCTTTAAATTAAAGTGACATGATCTCGGATATAAAGTGAAACGCTGATTTGTCAAAAAATAATATCAAGCACTGAACAGATTCATAGTTTTTGTGTGGAAAAGATTCACTGCATGGAATCAATACTGAAAGTACAATTATTTCAGAATTATTTGGAACAGTAGGCCAAAGTGACTCACAGCAAACAAAAAGTATATACAGTATGTTTGCTTAGAAACAATCAAATTATAATACAGATTTTTTGTCTTCAACAATGCATACTTCAAATGTAATCACTGTCATTTATTTACAATACAGTAAGTGAATTTATTTCTTTGCAAAACTAGCTTGAGATGGAAAAAAAGAAATACAACTGTTTTTAACAATGATAATAAGACATGTTTCTTCTATATACAGTATATTAAATTTAATTCTCTCTCTCTACATATATAATTAAATTGTAATATTTGACATAATTACTTGTTTTAATGTATTTTGACATTTAAATGGCATATTTCCAAAATTTGTATCATTTGAATGCTGAATAAAAAAACATGACAGCAGTTTTCATGTTAATGAGTTTGCTACATATAGAGCACACATGCGATATCTCATATCATTACAGCCCTTAAAATGCTGTACAAAGGTTAAACCAGATCAGATTGATTTGATTTGGTCAACTGATCTCGATCTTCTAAACAATCCCTGCCTGAAGAGGTTGAGATGTTTGACCTAAATCTACCCTTGGAGTCCTAATTGTAGCCCATGAAACACTTGAGCCAGATGCTTGGAGAGCTTCCCATCTAATGTCTGAGGCTGCGTTGGATTATTGCACAGTTAAAGCACTGGCATGAAACTTGATTAGAGAGGAGAAAGAGCCACATGGACAGCGAGACGAGAGGATGGGGGCCGTCTCTGCATCCTATAAATGACATTGTAATTTTCAGTACATGAATTTTATTTGTGCTTGTAACCATTAAAGGGAGGAATCGGCTCAAATCAAGCTGCTCGAGTGCATGTGTGCATGTCCGAGTGTTTTCTTTTAAGTTGCAACAGTAACCAATGACAAAACAAACCTATGCTTAAATCAAAAACATACTGGCATTGTTAACACAAGGATAATGTCAATGTCAAAAAGATGCTTTGCTGGAATTACAGCGTGTGCAACAGGTCAAATGGAGCCAGAAGATAAAGGTTGAGTGGATCGTGTCATGCTCCATTTCCCCTTCACATGTGAACAGTGTTGTGAGGAACCAAAATGTGAAAGGAGAAGACCAGAACCTCTTGATTTTAAACTTGCCTTTTAACCCTCTGGTGCTGTTCAGTCATTTTTGACTGGAAAAATGTACTTTATTTTTTTTTCCCGAATTTTGGTAAAGGTTTTGGCATTGCTATGTGAAAACTTTTGGGCATGATTTAATGGTCCTGAAAGAAATCACACTTGTACTGTTCACGGCCAAAAATGCCAGCACTGGAAATGAACGGAAAGCAAATTTCATCTAGTGGAATCATTTGGTACTGCGGTCAATCAAAATTAAACCTCATTTTTTTGAGATATCAATCTCAAATTTGGAACACAACTTGTGTAAATTTATGGCTTTGATTTACACACAGTTTTAGAGTGAAAAACATATATTTCATATAAAATGTAAAAATAGTTTTCATTTCTCATACAATTTTTCGTTTTACTTTTTGTTTTTTTACTTTTTCACTTCAGCAATAATCTGCCAAGTGTCTTCTTTAAAGAGTTTAAACTTAAAAAAAGCATTTAAGATTAACAACAGTTTAAGTTGGACATTTTATTTTGAGTTATATGCTTAAAAAGTGGTTAACAGGGAGTAAATGTATCATAACTATTCCATAAATATAATTTAGTACCATAAATATTGCCATGCGAGCAGCATCAGAGAGTTAAAGAATGCATTTATGGAATCAAAACATCATTATGAAAGCTCAATGCTCTGAATCGCCTAATATCTATCTTACTACTAGAAACCTGCTGGTTTATATAAATTGGCTTTTAATTTTTTTTTATAAAAACAGGACTTTCCTATCCAGGCTATCACACGATGGCTGCAGATCCAGTTGACACGACAGCTATGAGGAACACAGTTACTAAACAAACCCATACTATTTACAATATAGAGCAGGAGTCACGGCGTGTGCGCCACGGTTAGTGGAGGTGAAAGGGGAGAGGGGTAGACTGAAGGAAAGATGCGGGTGGGCTGCTGACCCCTGGACCGGTGAAATACCAACCTGACAGACTGTTGCTCCGATCTGAGCTGTTGTGGGAGCTGGTGGTGCTGAAATCCTGTGATTGGTTGTGTGGCATTCTATTAGACAATCCGTCAGCCAATCGGTAGTCAGGAATGAAAAGGAGTGCTAGTGGAGGCGAAGGGCAAAAAAGTGGCATCAGGTGGCGGGCAAGATGGCACAAGCGCATGCAAGGGCGTGCAGTTAGAGCAACAAGCAAAGCATTGATCTCACACACAACTCCTATTTAACATTACTATTCTTTCTAATCTAACAATGACTTTTAATATTTTTCGATTTGTTCTCAAACCAAGCGAGTGAAGGCATTATTAGCATAGGTTGTTCAATAATGTATATTGGAGAGTTTATATACAATTCTATAAAATTTATATAATATAATATAAAGTAATATAATATAATATAATATATACAAGTTGCTGCCTTGATAAAGTGTTCTACATTATTCACTTACGATGATTTCTTTCTTTCTGCATTCATTTATTTCTGTATTTATTTCTTTATTTTGGTTAGGATGTTGCATATTTAGGTAGCAGACAACATGGCAGCTCACTAGGCTCTGGAACAGAGCCCTAATTGCTTTAAAATCTCTCAATTTGTCTAGTTTCTTTGGAAAGTGTCTCATTCAGAGGTTAACAACATACATTAGTGCTAATTTTCCTGGAATTAATTCTATTTGTTGGCAAGTTAACCAGTTCACGGAAACATTTATACTTGTGATTTACAGTAATTTCATAGTTAGAGGTTTATTCAAGTCCAAATGAAAGCGGAAATGGTTTTTAATTGCGTTAAAGGAACATCTCAATTTATCATTCTGTTCAACTGTGGAGAATAAGTTCATTAATATGGATAGTAGTACTTTTTTTGCTTAAAAAAAGCAGAGTGCATTTGTCTAAAAGCTTTTCAAAATAGAATAAATCTTGGTTATTGATGTTACATTCTTTTAGCCCAAAGAAAATTTAAATAATAAATGCGGTTGGTCGGAAACACATTCAAGGGTCATGGATTTTGTTATGGGTCAATGATACACATTCTTATTGTTCCTGAATGTCAGAAAAATGCAACATTACTACAATGATGATCAAATTAACACTGATACAATCTCAGGCAATATCCAGAAATAGAGCAACTGGCTTTGTTTCAAAAGATTTTGGATGCGAAAAACGCACAAACAGGCTCACACACACACACACACACATGCATGCACTCACTCGCACACACACGCACACGCACACGCACACACAGAGACCCGTGGCCCTTCAGCCTGACTCACTGTTGTTGCAGGAGTTCTTGTCTGGCAATGAGTAGCCCAGGTTGGCCATTTCCTGCTTGGCCTGTAGGGAGGTCTTCCACTGGGCCTCGGGCAGATCGACGGCCAGCTCATGAATGCTGTTGGAATGGAGGATCTGGGTGGTGGCGTAGGGCGTGGCCTGGGAGGCGGGGCTTGGACTGCCGAATCCACCTTTGGTGGTGAAGTCAATGCTGCTGTAAATGGCTCCGTCTGAAAGCATGGTGCCCGTCTTATCGGCCTGGGCACTGGGCATCATGTCTGTGTGGAACAAGAAGATGGAAGGAAGGGAATAAAACAAGATTCTGAGGTTAATATGGTATTAGAAAAGAAGAAGTTTGGGGGGAAGTGCAGAAGTGATGTCAGTTTTGCCAGAAATCGAAACAAAATATTGCAATGCAATTAAGCAATTTTTTTTTCTACAAACTCCTCATCAAGTCTGAAGTATCTGATTTTATTTCAAAATGTATTTATTATTTATTTTCAGACAATCATATTCTAGGTACATTTTTGAATACTCCAAAAATGTCTAAAACACATTCACACACATAAATAATACTCAAATAATTATGGAATACTGACAGTTTGGTATCTGAGGCAGTGTGAAATAACAACAACAAAAACAACAATTATTATAGAAATTATACAATTATATGACTACATGAATAATAATAAATGCATTATTTAAAATAATAATTATTAAATTTAGAATAATAATTGTTGCTTTTATTTCATACCACCTCATATACCAAAATGTCATAATTCCATAATTATCTGAGCATTAAGTATAATAATAATAATAATAATAACAAACAAATTACAAAAATCAATATACTTAACAATAATAATGATAATTATTAGTCTTAAATAATGCTCATATAATTATAGAATTATAAAATTTCGGTATATGAGTCAGTGTGAAATAATTTATGTATATATATATATATGAGATAATAAACAGATTATTATATAATTTCTTTAACTTATTTTCATTCATATATTACATATGTAAAATAAATAATTAATCATACTGAATCATACTGATCGTTTTGTGAATATGCAATAATTTTGGTGTGAACAGGCCTTTAGTTTCTTTTCATCCTTTCCCCTTGACTCACTGCTACTATATTTCATTTGCATTTTTCCTTTGCACTTGTGAAGGAGGAAATAATGCTGTATCTCTACATGTGTGTGTATATGTGTGTACTGAAGAGAAAATGATATACAGCAGCTGCATCTGCACCACTCAAGCTGCGGCTGTCCTTCACGACTCACTGCTCCCCCACCACCCCCTCTCCTCCGCTATCGGCCCTTCCTCTGTCTGACAGTGGGTCAGAACCACAGCCATTAGTTTCAGCATGACAGCAGGATGCGGGTGGCGATAGTCTGTCACAGTGCTTGATAAATAAATGTGTGTCCAAAAATGGCCGATGCAATATGCACACAGGTGTTTATCTTATGGACAACAGTAGGACATCCTGAATGAATCATTGCCCAGAAATATAAAAGTGAAAGAGGACATTTTTTTTTCAACTGATGTAGAGAACTTGCTTTTATCACTTGACTACAACCAATTTCTCCATTTACTCGATTTACCTCCACGGCCGAAGTTGTTGAGGTCGTTGGGTCCTCCAGAACCGCTGTTCACAGGCAGACTGGTGGCCGGCCAGGAGTCAGCGAGCCAGGGGTATCCCGAATCACTGGCATTCAGCAGACCAGGACGACTGCGGGAAGACAAAACATGCATTTGAGACTTGATTCTCTATATTCTGAGTTTCCACAGTTTGAGCAATGAATTTCCATAACTTTCCAACTCATTTGTGATTATTGGATATGGATTTGACTGCGACAGACAGATTAATTTAATAATTGTGAACTGGTTTGACTCAAAAGAAGAATTTGCGAGTGTATGAAAGTTTTATACATAAGCTTTACATGGAACAGCAGCACATGGAATATTTATATCTATATTCAGTACAGAAATTGTTTTTATGCTAAAATTTATTAAAATAAAAATTAATAAATTACAACTTGCATGACTTTTCCAGGCTGTTCTTTCATTCTTTTTTTAATTTATTTTTTATAAATAATATAATGGACTGAAGGTAAAATCTAATTTCATTTAAAGATGTAAAGAAGAAAAAAGTTATTATCATTATTATTACATAATTACAAGAATACATTTATACAAAAAATACAGACTAAAAATAAATAATAATAATTATTATTATTATTATACTTAATGTTCAGATTATTATGGAATTATGAAATGTTGGTGTCTGAGTCAGTGTGAAATTATTATATAAATTTATATAATTTATGTAATACAATTTACACAACAACAACAATAATGCAATAATAATAATAATAATAATAATTAACCCAAAGTATCTCTTAAATTACCAACTAATTTTGCAGGGGCACAAATGTGATTTTATAAATATTTGTATAAAAAAAAATTAATAATTAGATAAATTTGTATAGGCTCAGTAAAGTATAGCAAAATAATAAAAACCGACCAAGAATACATTTGAACTAAACTTTAAAATAAAGCAGAACAAAACGTTGACTATAAATTTCATGACATTACATTTAAATCGAATGCAAAGATGAAGCTCTTATATAATGAGTCTGGCCTTTGTCTGTCTGTCTCAATCTAAGATTTTCCAACATGATTGAAAAATAATAATTGCTTAAACGCATGACAGGAATCTGCAGGGAGTCCAAATAAAGACATTGTGCATGACATTCTTATGGCATCTCTTTTCAACAGCAAATGCTTATTTTTCTAGGATTTTCCACATTTTCTGATGTAACATCTATTCTTATTTGATAAAACACTAGTAGTATAGCAGGGCTCACTCAACATCTGAATAAAATAAATAAAGAACAATTATAATACACACTCATTTAAATCTGGAAATTCTCAGAAAGCTTTAGGATTTTAAACAAAGACAGCATTTTTCATTGTTTCTGTGTAAGAAAACAAACAAAGTGAACTCCTTTCTGTACATGCCGACACACACCCTGAATTAACAGATCACCCTCACTATAATACACCATCTTTAGCTCACCGAACTCTATGTTTTACAGCACACTCCTCCACATCTGCCAACCGTGCGTGTGTACAAGCTCACACACAAGAGTTTCATTTACCAGGTTTTGTGTGTCTTCCCAAGGGTGTGTGTGGCATAAAGGCATCATTAAGGCTTTAAGCTGTCACGGGTGAGTGCTGTGGGCCATTACCACCACTTTACTGTGCAATCACCTCGCTGATGCTTGTTGCCATGGGCAACAGATGCTGAGGAGAACTTGTGTTTTTACCCCCATCCCTTCATTTGTGCTGCTAAAGCCACACTCCCACTATAAAAATTGCTGTTTTTTTCTATTCAGAATGAGCGCAGATGGAAATAAAGAGCCATTGGTTGAGGAAGGCTGGGAATATAACAATAGTGGAATGGAGAACGAGTGGAGAGTTGGATGAATGAAGCGCTCAAGGACTCCTTCATTTTTTGGCCCACATCTCTGTATTTCGCCTTTCATCATTGTTAGAGGAGCAATTTGTGGTCATGGTCGTGGAGATGGAGCAATGCCAGTACAAACAGAAGATTTTGAAAGAACACAAAGACATGAGCATAAACCAAAAGACATTTTTAAAAGCAAGTGAGTCCACACATTATTGTATAATAATAATAATAATTATTATTATTATTTTAACAAAGGATTATGTTAATGATTATTGTTATTATAAATGTACAAAGAAAAAAGAAATAGATAAATAAGTGCATAAATGAATGAATGAATATTGATTAAAAAGTATTTCTGAAATATATTGCAATTCAAATTCAGTAATTTACTCACCCTTATATTTTCCCAAAAATAAATAAATAATAAAATAATACATAATAAAATATAATAATAACAACAACAATAATAAATTATTATTATTATTATTATTAGTTGTGTACAAATAAATAAACAAAACAAAACAAAACAAACAACAATATTTTATTTTTATTTTTAATTAGATTTGAATTATAATTCAGTCATTTAAGTATAATAATAATAATAATAATAATTATTATTATTATTTTAACAAAGGATTATGTTAATGATTATTGTTATTATAAATGTACAAAGAAAAAAGAAATAGATAAATAAGTGCATAAATGAATGAATGAATATTGATTAAAAAGTATTTCTGAAATATATTGCAATTCAAATTCAGTAATTTACTCACCCTTATATTTTCCCAAAAATAAATAAATAATAAAATAATACATAATAAAATATAATAATAACAACAATAATAAATTATTATTATTATTATTAGTTGTGTACAAATAAATAAACAAAACAAAACAAAACAAACAACAATATATTTTTTTATTTTTAATTAGATTTGAATTATAATTCAGTCATTTAAGTATAATAATAATAATAATAATAATAATAATTATTATTATTATTATACACATAAATAAACAAAATGACAAACAAACAAACAAAAATGTCTATGATCCATTTTGGCAAGTTAAAAAAATACACAATTTTGTTTTTAAATGGCTTAGCTAATAAACATTCACACAGTGCTATTTCTGTTTAACCAGCAATATTTTTTAAAAAGGTAAATACATTTTTGACTTGCAGTTTGTATTAATAATAATAACAACAACAAAATAAGTGTACCATACTTGCCGCATTATCTACCACTGTAAGTGCATTTCTGTACATGCATATTTAACCTATAATATTCCTTTGTAACTTATACGTAACTTCAAGGCTTCTCTGAGAGCTGCCATGTTGAGCATTGTGATATCTCCTATTCAACTGACCTTGTTTGCCTGGTGTTCAGTCTGTGACACAAACATGCTCATCCAAAGACTCAAGCACAGATGTGCATCAACACACCCCAGTCGTCTTTGTCTCTTTTCTTTCTCTATTTCACCGTGACTTTCTCTCTCGTCTCCTCTCACTCCCGCTCTCTGTGCAAGTACATTTGCCCTGAGGTGGCTCGTCTCCCCCAGGCTCGGGGAACAGTGTGTGGTTTTTTGAAACCGGGGGCAATATACCGGTAATGGCAGTGTAGCAGCCCATCGCTCGCTAAGCCACAGGTTATAATAAGAGCCAGCAGAGCCCGAATGGAGGGTCTCCGGCTGAGGCGGTGGGGGTCCTGACAGACTAAGAGCCCCCTGATGTGGCAGCTGAATGCCAAAACAGGCCCTCGGGGGGACGAGTCATTCAAATTGATAGCTCCTCCTCAGACACGTTGACTTCTTATAGGGTAATACGTTGAGAACTACTCATACCTTCCCCTCCACCTCTGCTTTTTTCTCTCTGAAAAACAATCCTGCAACCTCCTCACCTCCACCGAAATGCTCTTTCCTACTTGTTTACAGTCAGGTCCTCTCTACTTGATGTTTTTGTTTTGTTTGGCCCTCAGGTGATCTTTATGAGTTACTTTTATTTCTCTCAATCTGTTTTTCAAGTGTTTTTTTCCTCCTTCCATATTTAAAAACAATAACAATTTATTTAAAATAAATGTTCCTGTCTTTGAAATAAATGTGCATGTTATTTTAAAGGATTTTTTTTGTTCATGTTTTATCAAAATATATTATGGAAGCCTGTTTCTACCCCAAAGTAAGAAAAATGAAGTAACTGCGACTTTATTTCTCATAACTGTGACTATGTATGACTGCATTTTCTTTTAATTATTAAAAATAAATAAATAAATACATACATAAATAAATAATTGAAAAATGTAAAATTAAATAAAAAAAAAAATAATATTTGTATTTATTGTTTTAAATGATTTTCCACCTTGATATGTTACTTTAAAGGAAAAATTGTGTTCTTTCATGTTTCATTAAATACGTTTAATTACTCTGTTCCAGAGTAAGAGAATGGAAGTATTTGCAATTTTATTTCTCATAATTGTGACTTTCTGTATGACTGCATTTCTTATTTATTTTTTATACTGAATTAAAATATATATATATATATATATATATTACATTCATTATTTTAGAGAAATAGTCATTTTTAGCTATATAACTAGAAAAATGACTATTTCTTTAAAATAATGAATGTAATATATATATTTTTTAATATTTAATATTTAAAGGAAAAACATATTTTATCATGTTTCATCATATAGAAGTCCGTATCTGCTCCAAAGTAAGAAAAAAGTAATTGCGACTTTGTCTCATAACTGTGACTTTATGTATGACTTCTTATTTTCTTTTTTTTATACTTAATTTTTTTATATAAAATATAAAATAAATTTATAAAAAAAATAAATAATAATAAATATATATTACATTTTTCCCCTCCAAGGCAGAAATGGGCTTACTTCAATTTCTCCAACTCTGAAACAACCTTTCTTCTGAATTTCCTTCATATCTGACATTTTATGTGGGCAGGGAATATTAACCAATAATATCATAGTCTTATATTTCACAATTAAATCAAATTCTGATAAGTAACAGGAAGCCCAAGAAAAAAAATATGTTTTATATATATAGTTACTTATTCATTAATATATACAAATGCCCATGTAGTTACTGTACCTTATACTACCCAGTACTTTCTTGGATAAGTACACTCTAAGTACAGGTACTGTAAAATAAAGTGTAACCAAAAATGTTAAAATAGCCTACACAGTAAAGTTTTACTATAGGGAATGCAATTTCCTTCAAACTGTAGAGCTGGTAAATTGAGCTCACCAGAGAAAAATGGATGTTTCATGAGTCTGACTTTGATTTCTCAGGTGAACAACCACACACACATGCATAGTGTTCCAGCCAGTCCTCACAGGGATCATTTGTAAGTGTGGGTGATGATGATGTTGACTGTGGTAACGGCGGCTCTGTCCTTGCATTCATCTTCTCCAGTGCGAGATGATTAGATTGAGAAATATCGTTTTAGCGGGCATATTTCTGCCCTGCAAATCACCGGGAGCGGGGCCAGGGGCCTCATCCCAGCCCTGACACCCAGCCCTGAATCCCTCTCCTCAGACAGCGAGAGCGCACCGTGGCCTTGAGACCAAAGAGATTTGATTTGGCTCCATTTTTCCCTGCCACGCTCCTAGACACGCGAGCAACTGTGAAATACAACCTCGCAGCGCGTCTGTGAGGATCGTCGTAAACAAGTCGAGTGAGCAATATTAATCCCAATCCTACTTCATAAATCAGCCGGGCTTTACAGGCCTACACGCCCTCCAGAAAGACAGAACCGGGAGAGAGAGAGAGACCCAACTAAAGGCCTGCACATTAAATTACGCTTAAGGCATGCTGAAACATGCATTTACTTTTCAGATTTACATTGGGTGGAAGATGCTGGCGCTTACTTTGAGCACAATGAAAATCTAATATACTCACAAACATGTTCATATAAACATATAGATCTGAAAGAAAGGAAGGGAAGGAAGGAAAAAAGTGCCTTGAAAAAAAGGACAGAAGAAAGAATGCAGCTAGGAAAGAAAAGTGGGTAATGTTACACATGACTTTTTGATTTTATGTATATATTATATCATTTTAAATATATGCAATACATATGCAATGAAAGGAAAGGAGAAAAAAGAAAAGAAAAGAGAAATGGCAGAAGAAAATTAAGGAATTGAGAGGTTAAGAAAGAAAGAAAAAACATGTAAAGTGGTAGATAAAAGATAAAGTAAAAGATTAATTAAGAAAAAAAAAGTATAAGAGAATTAAAGCATGATCATCAGTTTCCATGAGTTCAAGGCCTAACCAATATGCCACCTATTCATCTTCCATGAATCATTTATTCTGTGATCGATTAAGCGTAATTGCTCAGTACGAGCAATTTGGCAGCAGCCAATGAGGAGCTGCAGAAACAGACGCGGCTTCATTTGCTATCGTCTAATTAATGCAATAAACAAAGACTGTAACAAATGAACACATTCTCCCATCATCTCTCCGGGAACTTTAGTCATTCACTGCAGAAGACAGATCAAGTGTTCTGATGCATGTAGAGCACCTTCACAGTAAAAACCCACTTAAACGTACAGAAGATTTCAATAAAACTTCCTATGAAGCATGTATATATAATGCATTATATTACGGTCCTGGATGTTGACTGGTCAATACATAATACAAAATATACAATACAGTAAGAGTTACGAAGTGAACCACCTGTTCACTGCATTGAATTCTGTTAACATACAATGTTCCAAAATAAGACAGAATTTGTTCAATAAAATAAAAAAAATTTACATTAATATTTTTAATATAAAAATATGACATATTTACAAAATATATTTATAAAATATTTACATTACAGCTTATAATTATTATAATATATGTTTATAAAATTCTTCTTTTATTATTATTATATGTTAAAATGGATTAAAATATCAGTAACTTTTTGAGACATGCTAGACTGTACTTTTTTACTATATAGAAAATACAGTAAAAGGTATCCTTAATGCATTCATAATGCAACAAAACAGCTTATAATTATTGTAAACAAGTCATATAATATAATATATGATATATGATATGATATATAATATAGGCTTAAATTGAAAAGAATAAGGCATTGTGAATAGCTTTATAATGCATTTTATACACAGACCTCATAGTATTCCCAATAATGTCTATCTTAATTCAGATCCGAGGAAAGCTCTTATCTCTGATCTCTAGGGTGTTATATAGCTAAAGACAAGGTATCACTATAAAAAAATGCAATTGGACGTCCTCTTTGATTAGATAGGAGACCCATGGGATCTGGAATAGAATCTTTAAATCAATCAGCAGAACTTCACTTCCTGCAGGGAGAAACGGGTGACACTGCTGGGGCTTTAATTCCAGCAACTGAAACACCTTCAGTCTATTGATACAGCGACAGAGACAATGAGAAGACGTGTGGGTGTGCGGAATAAATAAAAAAAAAAAAAAAAAGGATTTGGCCTGTCACATGTGATAAAAGACACCTGGACACAAAATAGACAGACCTTCCACTCCTGACTGACCGATTCTTGCAATCCAGCAGGTAACTGGTGTCATTCAAACGAACCCTTACTCCCCTTCCCGTCCGATAAAAAAAAACCGAGGCCCGCCGAAAGATTCCGGAAGGGTTAGTCTAGCCTCTCCCTGGGGTAATTATTTTTACATTATTACACATGCTCATATTCCAGCCGCCCAGCTGAGGTGACAGGCAAATTTATCACTGCGGGGGTCTGTACAGGCAGTGTGGATGAATGAAGGGGGGGGGGTCTGACAAATGATAAAATAAAACCCCTCTCTGCTTAAATTGTTCCTGCTAATTCTTCTTGGTGAGATTTATGAGCAGCTAGCCATCCGTGAAGGGAGATGTGCAGAGATTTTTGTGTGTGTACGTACAGTATGTGTGTGTGTGTGTGTGTGTGCGCGTGTGTGTGTGTGGTGTGTCAGAATGCAGGTTACACAAACAGGCATATCTCATATTTTAATCCAATCAGTCACATGATGATTTCAGAGCAAGCTTGATGTATAGTTCAGTTAAATGTTTATCTATATGTTATTAAATTAAAATATGATAAATAATATTGAAATCCAGCGTTTTCCCATATATATAAACATCAATCAATCTATCTATCTATCTATCTATCTATCTATCTATCTATCTATCTATCTATCTATCTATCTATCTATCTATCTATCTATCTATCTATCTATCTATCTATCTATCTATATTATTTTAATATATTTATTATATATTTAATATGTAATTTTAATATATTTGTTTTAATATAATGTATTTAATTTCAGTAGTTAAACAATTGTTTACCTAACATATTATACATTATATTGACTTAAAATAATTTTATAAATACAATTTTATATTATACTTTATATTCAAGTATATATAATTTATATATACTTTTGATAAGAAACATAAAAATTATTTATGTACAAAATATATTTAATTTTATCATCAACTATATATATGTGTGTATATATATATTTATATATATATATATATATATATTTATTTATAGATAGTCTAAATAATGTACATGTGTGCATGCACATAATTATAATATTACATTAAAATGTAAAGTAAACATAAAATAAATGATGTGTGTGTGTGTGTGTGTGTGTGTGTGCATATATTCTAATAAAATATTATTTATTATATTGTAATATAGAACCAAATGATGTATGTATAATATTGTCTTCATCACTGAGACAGATCACCTTGGGGTCATTGAACACCCACAAAGTGGTGAGTATCAACAATACATCTGGTTGAATTATTTATTAATATTTGA